GAGTAAAACCGAGGAAAAAATAGGGAACCCAAAGGGAAAGCATTAACAAAAGATTTTCCTGCTCAGGGCTTCATTTTTGCCAACTGATTGGATTTCCATCCCAAATTATCAACTTTTTCAGCACTCTCTCTAGCTTGGACCGCAATTAAGCGAAGAGGATTTGAGGCGCCAAGTCTGGAGGGATCTCGGGCCACACTTCAGCACAGTTTTTCCCTGCAATTAAAAAGCGCCAAAGGGAAACCAAACCAAACCAAACCAAACCAGACCGAAACTGCAATTGTTTCAACGTGGTTTGAAACCGAAATGTGCTTTTAAATAGTTTTTCCCCCTCCTTCTATTTGTTGCGATCTCTCGACGCGGGCTGGGGTCTTTCAATTCAATTCAATTGGATTTGATTTGGTCAATATTCATAAAATCAAGGGCAAACTTTTCAACTTTTCTGCGGTTTTAAGCTGTAAAGTTTTTATTGGCGTGGGCACTTTCCACCATCCACCATCCACACTCCCCTTCCTAACTCGCCGCCACACTGCCAACGCTTTCCGCAGCCCGTTTGTGGCTTTGTTCGACTGGCAAATGAAAATAGTTTGCTGGCTGCGAATGAAACCAAAGAACTGAACGGAGGAGCAGCGTTCAGGGTCAAATATTTAGCATGTTGTTCAAGAAAATTAAGGTCAACCCAGAGAACCCAGAGTGGCAGAGACAGGGCCTGAGCATCTGTTACGGAACTTTTGTATATTTTTCCGCTTCATGTGAGAGCAGCGCAGCGCAGCGCAGGCTGGGCAGCCAAACAAAAGAATAGTACCAACAAATTATATATTCAGTCAGTGAGCAGAAAACTGTTCATGAAAGTCAAATTTCTGGTATGTCCCATGAATATTTCAAGCTATAATATGAGTTAGTTTTTGTCATTGGAAAGAAGCTCCGGCAAATAAGCTTCAGCCTCTCTCTTGAGTTTAAATTTATCGAGTCCTCCCCCACCCCGGACTGAATTACCATCCCGTAAATTTAGCAGCTGCTTAGAGCACAATCCCCACCGATATACGGGCTCTGGCGTTCCACCTGCATATGGGAGCTGCTTCGAACTTTCCCGATAGAGTGGGGATGGGCTGGGAATGGCAGGCTAAACCGAGCTTAGCTTGAGGCGCCTGCTCCCTGCCATATGCAAATTGTTCCGGCTCAAGTCTGCACCTGTCGACAGCTCGACTCGCAGGTAGCACTTTATTTTTACGGCTCTCGCCTGGCCGTATATTTATTCTGTTGCGACGGCTGCTGCTGTTGTGACACACGGAGAATGGAGAATTTATGGTAATTAAGGCTCGAGTTTGGGGTAAAGGAACAACTGTTCTCTGTTCTGTCCTCCATCTCTAGATGCTGCTAGCCCCGTTTAGCTGCGTTCTCAATCAGTCTGGTAATTATGTATGCTCAACCGATGCTCGAGCAGAAGGGGCAGGAGCAGGAGCAGGAGCAGGATTGGCACTTGGATGGCACTCACCGCATCATCGCATCAGCGGCATCATCATACCCCCATATCCCCATGTGCATTCTCTCAATCCGCAGAGAATCGCAATCGGAATCGGAATCGGAATCAGCATTAAGCTGATTCGCCCTGATGAGCATTAAAAAAAACTGTTCGCATTTCGCTTTCACATATCCTTTGCCTTGTCCTCTGCCTGCCAGGGATTGCGATTTCCCTCCTCTTCATCTTTGTGGCAGGGTGCACACTGAAGCGTGGCAAGCCGGTTGAACGGAGGTTCCTCCCTCCGCGCAGCAGAAGGAGCAGTGGAACGCAATTTATTGTAATGCCTTCTTCCTTTTTCTCTTTTTTTCAATAATCACTGCACTTAATTGCGAGCAACTATTAATTGAATTAGGAGTGCTTCCACACACACACACACACACACACACACACACACACACATACACACAGTTACACAGATAGATGTAGGAATGTTGTCATAGCGAACTGAAGGGAAAAAGGACTTCCACGTTGCTATGCTGCCACTGAAAGCGGGGGCTGGGATCCTTTCTATCAACCCGCAATGTTTATGAAACCCTACCTATGTCTGTCCGTCCGTCTGTCTGTCTGGTTGAGAGTCCCTTACATGTACCTGGATAAATCAGCAAACAGCGAAAGGTAGAGCAGGAAGGGGAAGGACAGTACACTTCAGTGGGTGCCCATGCCGCAACTGGCGCTCTCTGACAAAAATGCGATAATCGCTTCATTCATGGGACTTAAGCCCGAACCGAGCCTACGCAGAGGATATAAAAGGTGCACACTCTGTGTAGTAGATACACGTGATGGTGGCTGAGTGGGTTACGGAAGGAATCGATTTTTGTTTCCCCGTGAGAACAGCTAATATTGTGCAAGGTTTAAGCTGAAAATCGATTACGTACATTTTCGTTAATACGCGAGTTTGACGAAGGTAAATTGAAGACGAAATAAAAGTTTTGTTTCTCAAGAAATTATTGAAAGGTTTTTCTACTCGTACCCTTTCAGGCATTATCTATTATTCATACAATTCATGATTATAACAGACAACAAATATCTACATCCATCTTCTACAACGAAATACTTTTCATGGAAGCAAATATCAATGTTTGTGTGGCATTTATCAGCATTTTGCAGTTCTATTCTGATGGATAGATATATTTTAAACGATAATCGTCGCTTCCTTTAAACGCAGCCATGCATCAACGTCGACTGTGGTTCTGTCTTTCTGAAGCTCCCCTGCAGCTTTGACATTTCGGAGAGCGTTTTCCATTAAATGTTTCCTGCACCTGCTCTTCACTAATTGAATTTAACTTCAAATTACTAAGAATGAGAAACTCAGGGAGAGAAGCACCAACCCATGCCCACAACCATGCGGGTTAAAGTTTTCTCTAAATCTTTGGCGAAATGTCACTTACACTCATTTGGAGTACACATAAATTTAAATTTTCAGATTTCTGATGATGATGATGATGATGATGATGATGATGGCTTGATGGAGTCGACTCAACTGCGATGTCTGCTGTGGTCAGTCAGGAAGCGGGCTGAGTAGTAGTAGTCCCATCATGAATGTGAGCGAGGGACAGCAGCAGCCTAGCCTGATGAAGATTGAGGGGTCCTGGTATCATGGTGAAGCCCTTTTCTTTATTAATTTTCTGTCCGCATGTGGTGCACCTCAAGCCCGGAAAACAATTTGTTAGCTTGTCAAAAGCATCGACCATCAAGTCGAAGTTTTGGGCAAAAGCTTCCGCCACCAGCACCTCAGTCCCCTCACAACATGCCACCCGCAAACAACTCGTTAACTTTGGGCTTTAATTCCAGAAATGTTTGCCTTGGTGCGGGCCAAATCTGCATAATGAAAACGGCAAATATATTGAAGTATTTGCCTTTGGCATTAACACCAAATTATAATGGTATCAATGGGTGGGCGGAAGGATCGGGCTGCCGTGCTGCCGTGCCGGGGGCGAGTGCATTAAATTAGCATAAAATAAACAGCAACAAGCCACACAACACTTGCAACTCGTTGTTGCAGTTGCACCGACTGCAAAACAATTTCCAAACAAACAATCGAGGCAGATTACACAGCGGAGCGGCCGGAGCCAGGACCAGGGCTCTCCGGGCGGCAGAATGGAAACTCTGGCCGGATTGCAATTAAATTCAATTTGATGCCCAGACAAGAGTGGCAAACATGACCGACCAAGTGAGTGTAGTATTCGAATAGTTGATACCTCCTCCAATGATTTTCCGATTTAAAAGTGTTTCGAAATGTAACTCTCAACCGTCATATCATACCCTCATTTCAGCGGGTTTCTCCCATTGTGTCCGCTGATTGATTGAGTGGCTATTGCCCGGCATCCAATCCCAATCCCCACCCCCAATCCCATTCCAGTCCAAACATTTAGTTGTCTGGACCTACGAGTCATTTTTGTGGCAGATAATACACCGAAATTCGACTGCCCCAGGGGGTCAGGATCGGTTCCAGTGAAGCGTTGCCAACAATGCAGAGAAACTCGAACTAAAAGTGTAATTCCGGGAGAGGTCAGGATGAGCATTGTAACTCTATTGTGTCAACGCACAAAGTTGTGCTTAGAGGCTATCCCCATAGTCATAAATGCCTGATCTGACCAGCAGTTTAAGTTATGAGAAGGCTTTCAGTGTGTATGGATACTTTCTAAGAATTATGCCAATAAACTGAGAGTTAAAAACTTGTTGCCAGTTGCCAGTTGCCACTGACTCTTGACTAATTAGGCTTTCGCTTTTGGCACCTAGTTTAAGCATAAATTGCCGAAATCTGCACAACTTTCTGACCAAAAGTTGTCAGGTGTCTGTGTGCACACAAGCAAAAGGATGCACGACTTTGTGTGTGTGTGGAAAGTTTTTGCAGCACTTGAATCTCTCAATTCTCTCTCACTCCCCTTGAGTAGATGATTTCTGTCCATCTCTTAAGCTGTCCCAAGAAAGTGGAAGAACAAAAGTCATGTAGCCGGACAAAATGTGACAGGCGAGCAAAGCGACTCGCATATTGACATCCCAGCTGTCCGGCAGTAAAAGTTTTCTTTCGACTGATTGACACTTGTTCCAGTCGAGGTCCGAGGTCTAATTAGAAAAGTTTTCCCCCCCGCAACACTGATTCCCGCTCACCTTTTTGTTTTTGATTTCGATTCATGTAGGTTATTGGTTTTTATTGTCGATACAACCGATTCGGATGGCACTTTCCTTCATTCTTTCTACAGCTCCCGTAACTTAAAAGCAAATAAGAAAATTCCTAGACGAATCAAATAAAAATAGCAAAGATATTAAAAAAAAGAAGGCGTTGCCGCCGCTCGTGTTCTCTTGTTCTCTTTGTGGTTTCTATGTTCTGTTCTCATTTCTCTCTATGTTAAAAACTTCTTCATCAACTAAATGTAATTTTAAAGATACTTTCTCATCGAATCGCCTTCTGGCTGGCCTCTGCCCTGCCCCAGTGCCTAGGCATATGTCTGATGCAAGAGACAAATAATAGACACAAAACCCGCAGATATGTTGGATGGGTTGTGGGGCTGCCGCAATGTCTGGACAGCTTAGAAGCACTTGCGGTGAACGATTCCAGGGCCGGACTCGTCGTACTCCTGCTTCGAGATCCACATCTGCTGGAAGGTGGACAGCGAGGCCAGGATGGAGCCACCGATCCATACGGAGTATTTACGCTCTGGTGGTGCAATGATCTTGATCTTGATGGTCGATGGAGCCAGGGCGGTGATCTCCTTCTGCATACGATCAGCGATACCTGAATGCGGGTAAAAATAAATCAGACAATGTCCCTTGAAAGGCCTCGATGGGAATACCAACCTGGATACATGGTGGTACCACCCGACAGCACATTGTTGGCATACAGATCCTTGCGGATGTCCACGTCGCACTTCATGATGGACTGGTAGACGGTCTCGTGGATGCCGCACGACTCCATTCCCAGGAACGAAGGCTGGAAGAGGGCCTCTGGGGTGCGGAAGCGCTCGTTGCCAATGGTGATGACCTGGCCATCGGGAAGCTCATAGGACTTCTCCAGGGAAGTGGAGGCAGCTGCTGTGGCCATCTCCTGCTCAAAGTCCAGGGCGACGTAGCACAGCTTCTCCTTAATGTCGCGAACGATCTCACGCTCAGCGGTGGTGGTGAACGAGTAGCCGCGCTCGGTGAGGATCTTCATCAGGTAGTCGGTCAAGTCGCGACCAGCCAGATCCAGACGGAGGATGGCATGGGGCAGGGCGTAACCTTCATAGATGGGCACGGTGTGAGAGACACCATCACCGGAATCCAAGACGATACCAGTGGTACGGCCGGAGGCGTACAGGGAGAGCACGGCCTGGATGGCCACATACATGGCGGGGGAGTTGAAGGTCTCAAACATGATCTGGGTCATTTTCTCGCGGTTAGCCTTGGGGTTCAGGGGGGCCTCAGTCAGCAGGACTGGGTGCTCCTCGGGGGCTACACGCAGCTCGTTGTAGAAGGTGTGATGCCAGACCTTCTCCATGTCGTCCCAGTTGGTGATGATGCCGTGCTCGATGGGGTACTTCAGGGAGAGGATACCGCGCTTGCTCTGGGCCTCGTCGCCGACGTAGCAATCCTTTTGGCCCATGCCCACCATCACACCCTGATGCCTGGGGCGACCCACGATCGAGGGGAACACGGCACGGGGTGCGTCGTCTCCAGCGAATCCAGCCTTGCACATGCCGGAGCCATTGTCGACCACCAGGGCTGATGCTTCTTCGTCACACATTCTGATTTAGTTCGGTACGGTACGGGGAGAGCACTACAAGGAGCAAGCAAGCAAGCACTACAGCGCTATAATAGGTTTATCCTGAATATATGTATGCGGGGTATATCCCAGCAGGGGCGACACTCACGACGTGTAAATCCAACAGCGACAGCAATCAGAGTGATTCGTTCTGCGAGCAGACATCGGCATTTAAATAAGTTCTGTCCCCAGTCCCTGTCCCTGTCATCTTGAACAATTGTTCATCTAGTAACATGTTGATGAATTTCGGGTTATGCTACGCTTGATGGGGATCAGGCATTCACCGCGAGGGGGGTGCGGGCGCCGGCACGGATACACATCATTTGGATTGTATGCGAGTGTTGGTCATTTCGGGGTATTTTGATTTTCTGTCTGCATTTGATGAGCAATTGATGCGATTACATATACCCATGATATTCTTTTGCGTTTGTACTATTTATCTGTTTATACAATTATTTAATATTACAGTTTACAACTGCTATGTGGAACTGCAGGCACTCCGTTATACGCTTGTACTCTGGCTACCCACCACCTTTCGGTTAGTAATGCTATCTCGCTTTGCCCTTTACGCTTTACGCTTAAGCCGTTATCCGAGAGAGCTCCGAAATGACTCTCTGAGCTTTGCTGAGGGTCCGGTCTTGGCCTGCGCTACCTGCTACCTGCGCGTAACGGGTAACGGTAAAAAAGAGCATGAAATAAATCGCTCTGCGCTTTATCCAGTCACAAATTGAAAGTTTATGAAAGAGTTCATTGATTTGGTAGCTTATACTCTCCCCTAATTCTTGAAGGCAAGTACTCCCACATGCATTAGAGGGTATCCATTTGTCTCCATTCGTCAAAAGTGCTCATCATTTAGTTTCATTTCGTCTTAGCTAAATTATGTCGGCGGCTGTGTTTTTGCCAGCAACGTCGCGGACTTCCACACAGAGCGGCGGGCACGGGCACCGCAACACATAGAAGAGGGAAATGTGCGCCAGGACTTGTATAGTCATCTGTTGTTGTTATATTTTTAAGTTTTTATATAAATAAACCCCCGCAAAACTACAAAGAAAAAAAAACCAACAAAATGAAAGGCAGCTGCAAAATGAACAATGTAGGCATTTTCCCTCAGATGCAGTTTTGACGTAGCTGCATAGGAAAATTGTGCCAATGAAGAAGAGAAGACATCTCGATGCTCGCGGGCTCGGTCTCCGTACCACTCAGTCCCTAGATGGCGTGGCCCCAAAGTTGTCGCCCAAAAATGCAGCCAAAGCATTTACACATGTTAGAAAATGTTGACGGCGTCGTGTGGATTTCATTGAATCCATACATTTAAAATAAAATGAAATTTGTTTCGCAAAAATATGTCTGCTCTCAGCAACCCTGCTGCGAAACCCAGAGGGATGGTGCAGAGATGCGGCGGTGCAGCGAGTGCTTTTGGCTCACGGCAATTTCTCGCCTGTCTTCTGATATCGCTCGATCTTAACGTGGTATTAGCCACAAGATTAATGCCTGCTATTCTAATTAAATGGGCCCCCAGCGAGGACTGATTCCGATTCCGATTCCCATTCGCAGTCGCTGTCGCTAGTCCCTGCCCATAAATGGGGAAACTTCTCCCCGGTTAAGTTGCTCAAGTGCTTCGCAACTACGGCGGAGAACTACGTGCAACGTGCACAGATCAGGTACGGAGAAACTTTCACGTATCATTGTCTGTACGCGCGTCGAGCAGTTGAAAGAGGTAAAAATTATGCTCGCCCTGCCCTGCACCGTTAAAAGAACGAGTTGCAGTTGCCCCCGAGGAGGAGGAAGTAGATAAACAAAGCGGGTTGCTCGAGCAGTTCTAAGGAGAGCATCCTAGCTGCTGCTACTTATGCTCAATCCGCCCTGGCCGAAGCTGACCCCGTCTTCAATTTGGGATAGAAGCTTAGGATGGAAGTGGGAAAGCCCGGAAAAAAGTTTGGCGCGTTGACAGCTCCACAGCTCCACCTCTAACCTTTCAACACGCTCAATGCAGCGCCAGAAACTTGAGGCAAAGTGAAAGAGAAAGCGCTAAGAGCTGCAGTTGGGAAACGGACAACGGGTAACGGGTAACGGGCAACGGGCAACGGGGAACTTGCCCCAGTGAACATAAAAATTAAAATACCTGCCACTCGGTAGCATACCAAGTGGGGAGGAGCTGCAGCGTGCAGTTAAAGTTTCTTGGCTAATTTATGATTTGCAATAGGAATACACGTATATACTCGCAGGGCTTGCAGAAGATTCCAACTTTAAGCGTAATTCTTGGTTGCGAGTACTTTTTGGTTTCGGTTTATTTTATTTTCATTTTCCGTTCCATCTCCTTCTTCGAAAAGGTGCGGAGGAAGTGGAGCTGAACTCGCGCTGAGAAAACTTTCGGAGCCCAAGACAAGGGCTGACAGTTTTAACTACCCCTGGCAGCACCCTGCACTCCCTTGCCCGAGGAGGCAAGGCAGCCATCCAGCCATTCAGCCAGCAACTTCCTTTACTTTATTAATTACATAAGTTGCCTGGGCGAATATTTTTCACTCAAATGAATTTCTCTCATGTGGCCACGACGGCAGCTGTCATCAAGGAAAAACGGGGACATGGCTCAACTCCATCTCCATCCGTAGTTGCACCCCCACGCCCATCCACACCTGCAGCTGCACCACCGCCAAGTAATTACCCTTCACTCAAAATGCACTCCCAAAATCATGAGGCATACTCGTACATACTCGCACATTCTTCATCAAAACACGAATCCGAGCACTTAAAACTATATACAATTTAGATTAGATTGGTGAGTCCTAGTCGTCCAGGGGCAGGCTCTCGTGCAGCCACGTGCGCTCGCCGCCCTCTGCAAAGTCCGCCGCGGCATGATCCTGGCCGTTCAGTATCCACTTGGTGGTCAGCAGCCCCTCCACGCCCACGGGGCCGCGGGCATGGATGCGTGCCGTCGAGATGCCCACCTCGGCGCCAAGGCCGAAACGGAAACCGTCCGCGAACCGGGAGCTGGCATTGTGGAACACACAGGCGCTGTCCACGCTGCCGAGGAAGTGCTTGGCCGCGGCATCTGCAGTGGGGAAATGGAAACAGAAATTGTATAAATTGTAGAAATTTCAGAAGTGTGTAGAAATGTGTGGAAATGCAAACACGAGAGGGAAAGTGTTGAATAAAATTAATTTCCCAAATGATTTAAATTTGTTGTGGCAAGCAAAGCAAAGAACCGGGGCGTTATGGTGACGGGGGGAAGGTGGAAGCATGTGGTGCATGCATGCTAAAGTTCGCATGCAAATGCTTACGTAACTTGAATTTAGTTTGTTTTTTTGGCAAAGAGTTTCTACTGACGAACTGCAAATGTAATTACAGAAGTCTGCAGTTCTCCTTAAAGATTTCTCCTCTTACATTCAAAAATAATGACCATAATGGGAACATTCTAATTGAGTTGCATATCTAAGAGTCGTTTTTCGAGTGGTTAAAGGAGGGTTCACCTGCACCATTTAACATTAAGTTAAAGTGTAAGTTTGCACTCCTAAGTACTATTTTCTCCAGCGACAATAACCATTATACGAGTCTCCCCCATTGAGTTTGGAGACCACCTGCCACGTCGCATATAAATCGCATATTTGGAGGTTCCCCTAATTCAGCTTATGGCTCATGCTCCAACCAACTCTAAAACCAACTCATCTGCAGCAATAACCATTATGAGTGCTCGCTCTGCTCTCATTACCTCCGAAACACAAATCAAATTGATATGAAAGGGGGGGCCAGGCCATAATGGGAGAACGGAGGTCAGGTTAAACAATTTTTCTGCTTCGATTGAAAGCAATAGAAATTAATTTTCAATTTGTCGAGCGTTTCGTTTTACCGTTTTCCGTAACAATGACATCGGTGTGGCCGCTGCCGTATGTATGGATGTGATTAATGGCCTCCTCCAGGCTGGGCACAATCTCGATGCAGCACTCGAGGGCACCGTACTCGTGCCTGAGGCTCTTGGCCGCGGGCGGGCCGAAGGTCAGCTGCTGGTTCAGACGTGGGCCGGCATTGATTTTGACGCCCTCACGCTTCAGCATGTTGCAGACATCCGTGAAGATGTCGCCACTCATCAAATCCTCGTGGATGAGTAGAGTTTCCATGGCATTGCAGGCTACAGACAGGATATACGTTAAAGTGGGCAACAATTGGACAGCCAGAGAGCTCTCTTACCCGCTGGATAGTCGCACTTGGCATCGCGTGCAATGTGCAGGGCCTTCCGTAGATCCGCGTCCCGGTCGATGTACACATGGCAGACGCCCTCCGCATGGCCCAGGACGGGAATGTGCAGAGACTGCTCCTGGATGCTACGCACCAGCTCGGAGGAGCCGCGTGGAATAATCAGATCGATGTGCTTCTCCATTGACAGCAGATCGCTGATCTCCTCGCGGGTGGAGACCAAGGAGACGGCATGCTCGGCTCCAACTGTGGCCAGGGCCTCCGTGACCAGGTCCATGAGCGCCCTGTTGCTGTGGGCCGCCTCCTTGCCGCCCTTGAGCAGCAGCCCGTTGCCGGAGGCCATGGCCAATGCGGCGACTTGGGGCAGAGAGTCGGGACGCGATTCGAAGATGACCAGGAGCACGCCAATGGGAACTGTGACCTGTTTCAGCTCCAGTCCATCGGCCAGTCGAGTACGGCGCAGGACTCGACCCACATTCTGGAATGACAGCAGCACGGAATAAGAGAGCGAAGGGCAAAGGCAAAGCCAATCGGCAATTCAGCATAAATCGCATAACGTATACGCCATGTGGGACCGTTGGTCGTAAAATAACTCGATTTCTTTTGCGACACTCCCACAGGCAGGGAGGCGCTCCAGCCAACCCACTTGATTCAGTGGTCCTGCCCCGCATTCGGATTCCCCGGCGTCCATTTTGAGGCGTTACATAAATCAAGACGCTCATCGCGTCGTAATCTTTATTTATTTTTAATGGCCTGCTGTCCAACGCCCCCGCACCGAGAAGGTCCTTTCGCCCCCTGTCCCTCTCTCACCCATGCCATGAGAAATCTCTAGAAAATTGGCTGCAGATAACATAAAGAGATTGCGGAATGGGTCTGGTCTGGTCTGGTCTGGCCTGGGATCCGTGTCTGGGTTCGGGCATGGGTTGCTCCTGACAGCAGTTGACTGGCCTTGTTTGCATAGAATGGACCTCAGACCAAGACATCAGATCCTTACAGGCCACACGCCTTCTCTGCTATTGCTCCTCCGTCCCGTGTTTAACC